CCTGGTTTAACCCTCTTCAGGATGAACAAATTAAAAAAAAAATGCCAAAAAAATACCTTAAAAAGAAAAAAGTAAATGGACTAACTGGCATTTTATGGAGCTGACTCTTTAGTGTGTTTTCAGAGGGTGTAGATCCCATGGGAGACTGTCCAATCTTTTCCCTATGAGCAGCTCATGGATTCAAACTGCCTACTTTTCGGTTGGTAGTGCAACTCTTTGCCCCCTACGCCACCAGAGCTCCTTATTAGTTGAGGTTTTCCCTCTCATTCGACCCTTCAGCCCGTGTGGGCCTGTGTGCTCTCCGGCACCTGGTAAGAAGCGTGAGTGTTGACAGGCGCTCCTGTTGTGCCCTCAGGAGGGGAAGCGGAGCGTCGGTGGGGAGCCCACCCTCTTCTACATGCTGCACTGCGGGACGGCCTTGTACAACAACCTGCTGTGGAGCAACTGGTCGGCGGACGCCCTGTCCCGAATGGTCATCATTGGGAACAGCTTCAGAGGCCTTGAGGAGAGGTGAGCCTGGGGTTTTTCCAGGTCTGAGGCAGAGCCCAGCCTCCTGTCCATCCCGCAGGGACGTTCCCAGCACTTGGCAGTAGTTTGCCTTTTTCTTTTTTCTAATTCTCCATCTTTTTTTCTCTTTAAAATATTTATCTTACTTTGATTTGAGTGGAAGTTTACCAAACAAATTAATTTTTCATTCACTCATCATTTATGATCACCACTCATACCCATTTTGGTCTCTAACATTGTCTTTTCAAAGGGGAAAAAATTGGTGCATCTTCACTGAAAAGCTTATCCAGCAGCTTAGGTTCCCTCTGGACAGTTTCAACACAAGCTGGTGACATTCATTGTATTTTACCCTAATAGTAACATTAGATTCAGTGCTCACAGGATCAAAGTACTCCCCCCATGGCCGCCTTGTAGTTCTCATCTCCGTTCCTCCTCCTCCTGTGTCTTCCTCCTTTTAGTGAAATTGTGCTCATCAGCCCCTCATTGTATACTGCCTTTTCCTCCGTTAAGTGCCTGTTATCTGTTCTCTCATTTTTTTACTGCTGTCCCTCCTGGTAACCATTCAGGAATGAGTCTCCCTGTGTGTGAACCTTTCAAAAACCTTTAAAAATGGTGTTCTTGGGCAGTATTTGTCTTTCTTTGTGAGTTATTCACTCCTTCTTCTTTAGTGTTGCATAGTACTTCATTGAGTGTATCAGCATAATGGGTAAGGGGTTGTGCTGCCAAACCAAAGACAGGCGGTTCAAAGCCACCGGCTGTGCCTTAGGAGAAAGATGGGCACTGCCCTCCCCGTGTGATTTACTGCCCCTGAAAACCCGCTGGAGGGTCAGCTGTGAGTTGGCTCTGATTCAGTAGCAGAGTGGCCTGGTGGACAGGGCAGGACGGTGGGCAGCCTGTGCAGTCAGGAACCAGAACTGGCCAGTGCCAGGAGCCAGGGAAGGGGCGGCAGAGTAGGAGCCGACCAGCAAAGGGCCTCGGCATCCTTGCCCTCAGCATCCTTGCCAAGGCGTGTGGCTCGAGAACAATGATGTTCCGCCAGGGCAGGGTGTGTTGTCGATGGGACATGGCGAGAGCGCTCAACGGTGGGGGTCTGTAGTGACGCAGGGGTGCCCTAGGTCACTGAGCACAGGCTGGGGGACAGTCACGATCACAGCCCCTGCAGCCCCAACTGACATAGACCCTGGGGAGCTATCTGCCCACTGACAAGGTGGTTTACTTCCCTTACTGTGCTGCACTGGTCATGGATGTAGATCATGGGCTTGTGTTGCCATTCTTTAAGTCACATGCTGGATGTGGGGTGGCTGGATCAGGTGATATTTCTGTGTAAATGGTTTTTACTGAACACAGGGCTAAAAACACGGGTCTGACCTGAATCTTGGGTTGAGATATGGGGCATTTTCATAAGTAATTTCCCCCTCTACCAGGGACAGCATGCATATTAGAAACGGGGAAAGCCTTGTGATTTCTCTGGTGAGAACAACACAAATGTACTCACTTCTCCCCACGGAACAGCTATGTCCATACTCCAGGGCCCCTAACAACAGTGCCCTAGAGGTCTTCCTGAGTTCTTCATACTTGCCAACTATTCTTATATTGACTAAAACCCCCTCATAACTAGTGACTGTGGTTTCTTTTTGCTTGTAGGTTACTGACAAGGATTCTGCAGAAAAATTACCCGTATGTTGCAAAGGTATCTGTCTGGACAAAGAAGAGGGGATGAGAAAAGGGGTGAAACGTTAGCACTGCTCACATTGTGAAGAGTTGCCATGTCAGTGCACCCCCACTTTCTTCGGATTTCTTTTGTCATCACCCACTTGTCTGCCAACCTTTGGTAAAGACTGCGGTGTCTGTTATGTTCCGTTGAACACTGAACATGCAGTCAGTATGCACAGATAATTACACTGATGGCTGGAAGACAAAAGTTAGAAACAAAGAAGGGTGGGGACTTGGAAAATAGGACCTCAGAGATAGAGGGGAGGCTGGAGGTCACATCTTAGAATTAATTGTATATGTAATTTATTCAGTCAGTGTCTTTTTAAGTAAATCAAAAACCAAACCTAAATGGCAACTGTACACGAGGATCTAGCCAGGAGGACACAGGAGTCAAATTGAAATGCTTGTGAAAGCACGGTAGAGAAGTCAGAACAAGGTCAGGGAAACAGATCTTAAATCGCTCACACACAAGTTGAAGTTGAAGCTGACGGAAATGAAAACAAGTCTGCAAAAACCAACATTTGACCCAGAGTATATCCAGCCTGACTTTAGAGACCACTCAGAAAAAGAGCTGACACATTGAACACAATAATGACTGAAGAGCGGGCAAGTTGTGGGATGAAGAAAGCAAAATGTCATTGAGACGAAAGAAAGGCCAACACAGATGTCAAGAAACGTCTCTGTAGAGAAGCTAAAGCAAATGGAAGAAATGACAAAGCAGGCTGAACAGATTTCAGAGGGTGGCTGGGAAAGACAAAGTAGTATGGAGTTAGAAAACCAAAAGGGAAGACCATGTTTGGCATTTCTCACCTTACCTTGCAATCCTGAAGGATTCTGTGGACAGCATGTTGAACCATGTAGGAAGCATCCGAAGAAGATGGAAGGAATAGAGCCATTGTTTCTACAAGAATTGGATCAGTTCTTTGCTCAAGCAATGCAGGAGGTAGGCTTCTCTCAAGGCATTAGTGTACAAGTCTTCCAAGAATTGTTATGTGCCATCGCGTCGCTTGCAACTCATAGCGACCCTCTGTACAAGAGCTCTAAATGCTGTTCTATCCTGTGCCAACCTCACCATCTCAAACGCACTTATTCCCACCGCTCCAGTCACAGAATCGATCCATCTAATCGAAGGTCTTCCTCTCCTGCACCGCCCCTCCACTCTGCCAAACATGATGTCCCTCTCCAAGGACCAGTCCCTCCTTGCAACATGCCCAAAGTATGTCAGATAAAGCCTCAGAATCCTTGACTCCAAGGAGCCTTCTGGCTTCACCCACTCCAGGACAAACTTGTTTGTTCTCCTAGCAGTCCATGGTATATTCAACACTCTTCTCCAGCACCACAGCTCAAAGGCATCAATTCTATCATCCAATGCATAGCACGTAATTGCAAAGACTATAGCCTGGATCAGGCACACCTTAGTCTCCAGTCTGACATCATTGCTCTTGAGAGCCCCCTCACAGCTGACTTTCCCAATGCAATTTGTCTCTTGATTTCCTGGCTGCTGTTACCAAGAATGTTGACTGTGGAGCCAAGTAAACTAAAACTGTTAACTATCTCAATCTCTTCACCATCCATATTGATGCTGCCAGTTGGCCCAGTGGTGAGAATCTTTGTTTTCTTGATGTTGAGTTTCAGTCTATATAGGAGGCTGCAGTCCTTGATCTTCTGCAGCAAGTGCTTCAGGTCCTCCTCAGTTTCAGCAAGCAGGGTTGTGTCATCTGCATAACGCAGGTTGTTGGTGATTCTTCCATCAATCCTAATGCCACATTCCTCTTCGTATAGCCCAGTGTCTCGGATGATCTGTTCTGCATACAGATTGAAAAGGTATGGAGATAGAATACATCCCTGATGAACCCCATTTTTTATTTTGAACCATGTAGTGTCTCCTTGCTCTGTTCTGATGACTGCCTCTTGGTCCACAAGACCAACTGAGATATGTCAACAAATGGACATTGTGGTGGGTGTGCTGCTCTGTCTATGTCAAGAAACCCAGAAGATAGCTCCCTGGCAGCTGACTCGAGGAGATCCTCATTTGTGCCCATTCTAAAGAAAGGTGAGCCACAACATTAACATCACATGCAAGTCAAGTCTCAAGATAATTTAAAACGGCTGAAAGAGTACATTAGTGGGGAGCTATTGGAAACTCAAGCTGGGTTCAGAAGAGGATGTGGAGTAAGGGATATCACCAGTAGATCTTGACTGAAACTGGAGTTCATCAGATTTTTTTTTCATTTTACCTTTGTTGTACTTAAAAAACTATGAATCAAAATAAATTATGAAAATTCCAGAAAACGTAATTGTGTTCATGCAGAACCTATACACAGATCATGCAGGATAATGTACCGCATGGTATAAAATCTCCCGAGGGGTTCACCAGGATTATGCACTGAATATACTAATTCAGTCTGGATGCTGAGCAAATAATCTGAGAAGCTGAATTTTAAGAATTGCTGGGCATCAAGAATGAAGATTCAGTAACAATCTGCAATGTACAGGTGGCACAACTCTGTTTACTAAAAAACAGACTTGAAGCCCTGAGAATCAAACACTTCACATGGATTACAGCTCACCATGCGTACAAGAAAAATCCTCGCAGCTGGGCCCGTAAGCAAGATGATGACAAAGCGGAGAAAAGACCGAAGCCGTCAAGTCTTTCATTTCACTTTTAACCGGTCAGTGTCCATGGAAAGTGCCTAGCAGTCCCCCCAAAAATCAAAGGATGTTTCTTTGGGCAAATGTGCTGCCAGTGTTAGAGTAGCAGTGTCAGTCTGGAGACTAAGGTGTGTCTGGTTCAAGCCATAATACTTTCCTTGACTTCGTATACATGTGTAAGTTGGACAGTCAGAAGATGGAAAGTGGATGTTTTTGAATTATGGTGTCAGTGGAGAATATTGAGTGTGTGAGTATAAGAGGGAGAGGAGAGAGTGTGTGGGTGGGTGTGTGAGAACTGGCACAGTAGCTACGACAGTGGGCCCAAGCACCACAGCGACAGTGGGGACGGTGCCGGTCTCGTCCTGCCGTGCGCAGGGTCAGCCAGAGTCACAACAAACAATGACACCTAAACTAAATAACTTCCTTTATTCTTGGGGGTTTTTTTGCTGGGAAGGTGGTTTTATTCAGCACATCATATAAAGAGGACAATGAAACAGAAAAATAGGCAAGACTGTGATTCAGAGGAAACTCTGTTGTTGTTGTTAGGTGCCATCGAGTCAAGGCAACTCTTAGTGACCTGTGAACAACAGATCTGAACCCTGCCCCACCCTGTGATGTCCTCACCATCCCTGGTTTATTATCCTTGGTGATCAGCTTTTCTCCTTGTACTTTTTCTTTTTAAGATTTCCAAAGGCCTAGAAGAGCTTGAGCTCCCCGAGATGCCACAGTACCTGGATGTATTTAATGACACCTCTGTCCACTGGTTCCCAGCACAGAAGCTGGAAGGACTCCCCAGGGACACGTGGGAGTTCCAAGAAGAACCAGATTATCAGGACTGTGAGGACCTTGAAATCATCAGGAACGAGGCAAAGACCCTTGAGCCCCAGCCCTGAACTTGTCGTAACATATTCAGCGTTGACTAGCGCCACGTCGTGGCCTGCCACAGGCCCCATGGTCCGCCTGGGCCCCACGGTCTATTTGGCCATGTCGATGAGGCTCTGCAGGGAGGTGGGCACCCACGTCTTCTCACCCTGGACGAACACCACGCCCCGGTCGATGTAGATGACGATGCAGCCGAAGGTGTACAGCTGCTTGCCCTCGTGCCGCTTCCCGATGACGGGCATGAAGACGATGTTGTGCTCCTCCGCCTTGGTCTGGATCAGGTCCTTGAAGTTCATGGGCACCGAGCTGGCGGCCACGCCGATGCCCCTCTGGGCCATGTTCTCGGCCTCGCGCCGCTCCTGCATGGCCTCGTACTGGAAGTCCTTCCTGCGCTCTGTGTGCGTGAGGTAGGCGATGTTCTCCCGCGCCCCAGGCTGCATGTAGGCACCTGGGACACAGAGGACACAGGGGTGAGCGGTTTGCAAACAGCACACAGAACCTGGTCTGAAGCGGTCTGACTGTTCAGCACCAGGGGATTGTTAACTGGCCGTTGTACGGCATGTGCGAGGATTTCCCCGTGCACAGCTGGGAGTATTACGATCACTGCTGTTCCTTTCTGGCCAGCACTCCACGCCACCAGAGCTGTTGGGACCTTGAAAGCATACAGCATGTTGGTGGCCTACTCAGTAGGAGCTGCACTGCCAACCCAAATGCAGGCAGTTCGAATCCACCAGCTGCTCTATGGGAGAAAGCTGGGCGTCTCCTGTGCAATTAACAGCCTCTGAAAACTCCTGGAGGGTGAGCTCTGCAATGGTTCCAACTCAGTGGCACAACAACAGTTACACCTAACTTCACACATGCCCCACTTGGGGAGCCGGGAAGGGCACGTATAAAGGGTCACCACAAGACCACAAATGTCAAGTGCCAGCCCAACACAGTCCAGGGAGTGTGGGGCCTGGCCTGGCACAGGCAGTTCTAGAATGTGAACTGGAGGTAGAACTTCAAGTAGAAAGCGGTTTAGAAGCACAGCCGCCTCATTAAATAAAGTATATATCATCTGCGATTTAGAATTCTGTTTCACTCTAGTCTGAGTAGAAAGACAAACTCGGAAAATATGAATTCCAGTCCTAATTGCCACCTCGGTAGTGTGACCTGAAATGGTATTGGCCTCCCTGAGCTGACCTGGGAAATCTAGCTGACTCTGATTCAGTGTAAATCAGCCACCTGTGAGCAACACTGGCCTGTGGCCTTGCTGTCAGCGCACTGTGTCAAGGGGCTGAAACAGGCTCCCACCCAGGTGTACCATGACCCAGGATGAACTGGGACTAGACCCGCAAAGGGACAGTGGACTGTCCACTTCCAAAGACACCAGCTCCAGCGGGCAGTGTGCTGAGTGTTTGATACACCCACTCATTCACTGCCCCACGTAGCCTGTGAAGTAATATTACTCTTTTGCATATAAAGAAAAGGTGCCAGTGTTGAGTCTGCACTGGGACTGTCCCCCCCCTGCACAGTGGCTGTGCTCAGGCAGCCCCGCTGACTCTGACCGGGTAGATGCATGTGGACCTTATGAGGTTGCAAGGCCCAGTTGGACCATGGTGGGCTGTGGGACGTCAGCCACATGCAGGGGAAACAGCCCTCCCAGTCACAAACCTCCCCACAACTTGATGACAGGGCAGTGGCAGCAGCAGCCTGTGGGATGGTGTCAACCCTCCCCATAGCCTGACGATGGGGCAGCAGCCTGAGGGAGGGTGCCCGCCCTCCCCGTAACCTGACGATGGGGGAGCCTCCAGCAGCAGCCTGAGGGAGGATGCCTGCCGTCCCCCCTGCCCGTGACCTGACGACGGGGGAGCGGCAGCCTTTGGGAGGATGTCCATCCCCTCCCCATAAACTGTTGACAGGGCAGTGGCAGCAGTCTGTGGCTTCACCTTAGCCTCAGTGCTGGTTGAAGCAGCCCACGGGCATCTGGGAGCTCTGATTCTGTGCCCCCTACAAATTCAGAACCATGGAACCCAAGGCAGGTATGTGCATAAAACAGGTAGCCCACTCACCGACATTGGAGGACACGGCCCGGTTCATGATGTCAAGTGCCTCGTTGAATTTGTCCTTGACGGACGGGTGGGCCAGCACTTGGTCCGAGAACATGGATTTCCAGCCCAGGTACCACTTGGTGATCTCCTCGTAGTTGGGGCTGTTACTGAGCCAGGAGCACAGGACCTGTCCCCAAAAAACACAAGAGACACTCGCACCTCCAGTGGCAGGGGGAACACATGTGCTCAAGCTCTTATAAAGCATTTAAATATGGGATCTGCTGACATGACTTCCGTAGTTCCTTAAGTCTGGTACTTAAAAGAGTATGAATTCTGGAGTCAATCTGATAATTCTGTGGCTTTGCACATAAACTCTGAGCCCCAGTCTTCACATCTGTACAATGGGAATATGCTAGTCCCAACCCCGAGGGCCACTGTGAGGGGTCAGTGAGATGCACAAACATCTCACAACAGCACCACCCGTGGTAACTGCTGGAGAAACGGTGGCCACTCGGTGTTAACTCATCGCCACCCGAGGCATGTTCTTCATTCTCACTGTGTAACTACATCACTGTCCCCTGACAGCTCCCGAGAACAGAGGCCCATAGCCAGGCCCAGTGGGAAGTGGGTGCCCCTAACCCCAGCCTACCTGAAGCCACTTGGGGAAGAAGTGCTTCTCGAGAAGGCCCACCAGGCTGGACACGGAGATCATCCCCTCCCAGTCGATGACCCAGTAGAAGGCGCCCATGTGCTGCTGGTGCAGGTTGATGACCAGCTCCCCCAGACACATCCCTGGGAGAGAATCGCACTGTGAAGGCTTCGCTGTCCTCAGTCAGGACGCAGACACAGATCAAGCACGTCTCCACCAGGTGTCGGCTTCCAGAAGGCCAAGGTCAAGCTCCTGATGGAGCGATCCGTAAAGAAAACATTTTTCCTAACACAGACGTAACCACAGCTCACTGCTATGGAGCTGAAGCTGACGCATAACTGACCCTCCAGCAGGTTTTCAGAGGCCGTAAATCGCATGGGAGGAGACCGCCCGTCTTTCTCCCATGGAGCCAATGGAAGAGTCGAACCACCAGAGACGTGCAACCTTTGGGTTAACACAAGGGCTCCCTTCCAGGAATAACTACCCCCTTTAAATAAAAAATTTTATAAAAGAATTCATATAAAATTTATCCAATTTTTCTAACATAAATAGACATCCTTGAAGCCAGAACTGGCCGAGTCAGGAAGAAAACACCAATTTCTGACAGTTACCAGAGAGACATCCAGTCACTGCCACTCATCAGCGGTAAGAGCTAGTTGGTTAGATTAATATCCCGCCCTCAGCACAAAAACTGCACCACTGAGATGATGAGAAATTGTGCATGTTAAGAGTTCTGGGGGCCTAGCGGTAGGAGCTGAGCTGCCAACCGAAAGGCCTGCACTTCAAGTCCACCAGCTGCTGTGCAAAAGAAAGGTGGGCATTCTCCTGTGCAATTTATAGCCTCTGAAAACCCAATGGAGGCTCAGCTGTGAGTGAGTTCTGACTCGAAGTTCTATCGTTAACAACAGGAGGCCTTTCCAGAGAATTCAAAGGCCTGCCCAAAAATCCCATTTCAAGAAGCAAAGTCATTCCGACGGGCCGCCAAAACCCGTGCTCCGAGGCCTCTGGACTTAGAGCGTGTTCCCCGGCCCCCCATTCTCACCCAGCTTGGGCACGATGTTCTTGACCATGAATGCTTCCCAGGAGCCCGGGGTGAAGACATCCTTCCAGGGCTGGAGGATGAGCTTGGCCGAGGAGTCGCTGGGGTGCCACTTCTGCAGGGCGCTGGCCAGCTTGCTGCGGATGGGGGAGTAGAGCGGCTCCAGGCGCGCCTGCATCAGCGGCAGCCACGGGTGGATCCACGAGTGGATGGGCACGGTGTCCGTCAGCGGGTTCCAGTTTTCCACCTGCAGAGGGAATGCAGAGACGGGGGTCACCCAACTTGTGGCACCACCGTGTGGTGCAGGCATGTACTCTCCGGAATGAGGTATGTGCCATCGAGTCAGAACCGACTCACAGCTGACCGCCAGAGGGTTTTCACAGGCTGTAAACTGCACAGGAAAATGCCCATCTTTCTCCGGCAGAGCGCCTGGTGGATTTGAACTGCGTGCCTTTGGGATGGCAGCACAGATTCTTACCACTAGGCCATCAGGTCACCCTTTGGGCTGAAGGCCATAGTTCTTTGACCATTGTCTTCATTTTAGGGAAGAAAAAGCTAGGGACAAAGAAGCAGACAAGTCTGCTGTGTGTTTTCCGTGACATTCCAACAAAATAGCACCTGTGATCCATAAACCACCCGTGTGATCAGATTTCAATCTCTGAAATGGCCTCATTTTAATGTTATTTTTTTTTAAAAAAAGTACCTCTGGAGAGGGGCATTTTGGGGAAAAGGGGCTGTCAAAAGGCCCACTTTAATGAGGAACTGCTGGCCAATCCCTGTGGTCCCGGGACTCTGCCCACCTCCTTCTGCAGCTTGGGGAAGATGAGCTGGTCCAGGATGTTGTCCGAGATCCACACGGGGATGATGTTCACCCAGCTGTCCAGGAAGTCCACCATCGGGTCACAGTTCCTCGGCTGCCACTGGGCGATGATGGTCCGGACGAAAGGCATCCAGACCTCCCAAATCAGCCTGTGGAGGGCGCGGGGGAAGGTGGGAAATGGTTCTGAGGGGTTTCAGAGCACGGCCAGCACCCGCCCACGGAGACTGAGAGATAGCCTCTCACCTAACTGCACAGAAGTCCAACCGCAGAAATCCAGCAGGCCAGGCCGGCCGTCAGCCAGACCCAGCCTGTCTCACCTCAACTCGGGTCACTCCCTTAATGCCTGGGGTCTTGGCCTCCCACCCAGACAGGACTGCTCCCTCCGTCTGTGGGCTCACAGCCGCCATCCAGGGAGGACTGCTCCCGCCGTCTGCAGGCACACAGCCCCTGTCCAGGGAGGACTACTCTCGCATCTGTGAGCTCACAGCCCGGCACACAGCCGCCATCCAGGGAGGACTGCTCCCTCCGTCTATGAGCACACAGCCCCCATCCAGTCAGGACTGCTCTCCCCGTCTGTGCGCTCACAACCCGGCACACAGCCCCCATCTAGGCAGGACTGCTCCCTCCGTCTACGGGCTCACGGCTCCCCGTCGAGGCAGGATTGCTCCCTCTGTCTGCAGGTTCACAACCCCCTGTCCAGGCAGCCTGGCACACAGCCCCCATCCAGGGAGGACTGCTCTCTGTCCATGTGCACACAGCCCCCTGTCCAGGCAGGACCGCTCCTTCCTTATATGAGTTCTCAGCCCAGGGCACACACCCCAGTCCAGGCTGTCCCAGGCATCACTCACACTGCTACCCTGGTCCTCATAAAGGCCCTTCCTGCCCCAAGGCCTAGGCCCAGCTGTCCCTCTCACCCGGGGGTCACACCTTAAATGTTATCTCTGACCCCTGTGCCCTAACCCCCACAGGGCAGGTGCCCTTGCTGTTCTCCATCACTGCACCCCGTCTGCATCTTGATAAACGTCTGTTTATACATGTCCTTATCTGCCTGCTGGCTGCGGCCACTGTCCTGGGCAAGGACTGTCCTGAGCCTGCCCACTCACCAGGTGCCCGACAAAACCATGAGCTGATTTCAGTCCCTACAGCTGTGTCGGCAGAGGGCCGAGGGCTGAAAGTCAGTTCCCCGCATCTCCCCACGCCCACCCGGGGATGGCCCAGGTGACCGGGCCCGGCTGCCCTGCATACCTGTGGAAGGCGTCTGCCGACAGGTCCTGGCCGCCGTGGGATAGGATCTGGCCGTTCTCCAGCAGAGTTTTCCACCTGGAAATTATCTCAGTGCCGTACGTGCAGTCCTGGAGGGAGAAGCGAGCGGGCACAAGTGAGGTGGTGGCCGGTTGAAGAGCCTGCCCTGGCCTCGGGCGGCCTCACCCCGAACAGAAGGCAGAGAGGACTGACGTCCCCGGTCACTCACTTTGAGGGGGTCCCAGTCCTTGAAGTAGTCCTTCATGAGCGGGTAAACAATGGCCACGGCCAGGTCCACGCGGTCGGACATGCGGTACTCCTCGTAGTACTTGTCCTGCAGGGTCTCGAACACGCGGGCGCACTCGTCCAGGCTGAGGGGGTCGCTGCAGCCGGGCTGCATGCGGCGCTCGCACTCCTCCACCATGTCCAGGACCTTGCTGAGGTTGGAGATGACCCGCTCCTCGTGGTCCAGCACCTCGGTGGTCTTCTCCAGCTCGTGTGACAGGTTGACCACCATGTCCCGCTCGTACTGCAGCTGCCGGTCGTTCTGGATGATCTCCTGCTCCGTGAGGTCGATGAGCAGCTGCAGGTTGTGCTCGAGCTCGGGCAGCACGAAGCCCGGTGCCTTGGCCTCCCTGCCGCCTGGGGGCGGCTGCTGGGACTGCGGCGGCAGCCCGTCGTCCGGGACGCTGTGTTTGTGGCTGATCTGGCTGTAGCTGTAATAGACCTTCTGCTCCCGGCCCGTCATGTCTATGACCTTGGGGAACGCGGAGAGGGAAGGGGAGATAGTGCATTAGCGTTCACCGCTGCCACTGTGCCAGGCAGACGCCGGGGCCGGGGAGGGAGCACGGTGCCGGTGCCCACGTGGAGCCCACCCCACGCAGCAGAGCCGGAGCGGGACAGTGTCTCCAGGTGGGATCCCTGCACCCCTGCTGTACCAGGACATTCAAGGGACAGAGCAGTAAGAGGCAGCGAGCAGTTCCCGGCTATCGGATGCAAGCCCGGCAAACCACATAGAGAAAGCATTTTAAGAAATCAAGGATCTCTTAGGACAAACTTCATTATCTCCCTTGAAAAAAACTTGGTTTTCATTAAATGATTCATCTATGTTATGCCTGATAACATAAATTACAATTGATAAGTGGCTTTTAGGGAAACATCTCCTCAAATCCTCACTCAATACAGACTTTTGAAAGAGCGTTGTCCTTGCTTTAAAGAGAAGCATGGCCCGTGAGCTGCCTGCATTAGAATCACTCAGGGAAAGAGAAGAAATGCAGACTCCTGGGCCCCAGGGCAGAGCCACTGCCTCTGGGGCCTGGGACTCTGACTTTCCTGACAGGATCCCCCAGATGTCTGTGATATGAGAACTTGAACTTCTCCCTTGGAACTCAGCAGCCCTCCAGCCATCCCTACACCACACAACAGTGTAACACCCTCAGTCTGCTACTGAGACAGGTGACGGAAATCTTAATCGGTGTACGGAGCAGTGACTGAAAACTGACTCCCCTTAGGGCACAGACTCAAGACTGGTTGGTGGGGATTTCCTGAGGACCCTCTCCAACCTGCTGTCAGAGAATGACAGACCGCAACCTGCAGAGTCTCAAAGGTTTTCTCATCCTGGTGGAATCAATCCGAAAGAATGATGCGCACGCTCAAGCATTATAGACAAATTAACTACCAAGATGTGAACTGGAACACAGAGAGGAGAAAGGTATTGCCAAAGAGGTTATTGGATCAAGCCTGGAGCGCAACCGTCCCTGTAGTCACTGATCACTAAAGCTCACGCTGCGTTTCTAACAGCATCAAAGTCAAGACAGGGGCCCGGCTCTGCTGTGAAGAGGGCCTGTCACAGGGCAGGCGCCGTCCCGGCTCCCAGACACGAGAGGGCGCTGGACAGGTGCTCGCTGGTCTGCAGCGAGGAAACCCGGAGCTCAGAGAAGGGCCCCTGGTCAACCCTGGGGAGTGGGTCTACTTTCACCACATCTTCCAAGCACCCCCTCCAGGAACCCCCGTCCCGTACCTTGACCTGTGAAAGCTCCTTCTGGGGAGCGGCGAGCTTCTTGCTAATCCTGCCCTTGGCCTTCAGCTCCTCCACGGTCTTGTACGAGTACTTGGGCTTCTTCTTGCTTCCGCTGGGGTCCTTCCTCCACTGGCTCAGCTCCTTCTGGAACTCCTGAACCAGAGGCGTGCCGACAGTTGAGGCAACAACAGTGACAACAAAAGGTACAGCTACTCACGGCTGGTGGGACCACTAAGCCATGAAGAGGCCCCTCCGGGCCCTTTCCTACCTAGACCGAGCACCGTGCCTTGCTGCTGTTACTGGGAGTCACTGTGTTGATTTTTGAATCACAGTGACCCCCAGTGACAGACTGGCTTTTTAGGCTGTAAGCTTCATGGGAAGAGATCGCCAGGCCTTTCTTCCGTGCAGCTGCTGGGTGGGTTTTGGTCAGCAGCTGAGTGCTTAACTGATGCCCAGACCTGGTGATGACACGGCTGCCTCGGCCCCCAGTTACAGGGCAGCTGAGGCATATATATCTCCTGAGCTGAGTGGACGCTTCCCTGGACAGGCTGTGCCCTACGCAGGAAGCTCTGCTGGCCTAGTGGGTCAGGATTTGCACGGCCAACCCAAAGGTACGTGGGTTGAATCCACCAGCTGCTCCAGCAGAAAGACAGGCAATCTCCTCCTGTGCAACTTACAGCTTCTCAAAACCTGCTGGAGGGTCAGCTATGGGTCGGTTCCGACTTGATTGTACACAACAACAACAAAGCCTACGTGTCAGGGAGCAGCCCCCATCACTCCCTGGGGCCCCGCGTCTGGCTCAGCTTCCTCGAGTGGCTCTGCCGTACAGCCGGCACCTGAAGGTTTCGAAGCCCAGGAACCCTGATCCCAAGAGCACCCAATGCCACTTGACCTGGTCTCTCCTTCCTCATTTAGGGGAGGGGGTCGCTGACACAGGAAGGAAGGGTATACAGGGAAGGGCCTCTCTGTTGTCAGCATCCAGCTTTCCCTCCTAGATGCAATGGGGCCAGAAGCATCTCAACCAAGACAGTGGGTTCCCTTCTGTCACTAGAGCAAAGAGGCGGACAGCCGCCAGCAGAGGGCGCCCTGCTGCATGTGGATAGAACCTTTACACCAAAAACAGGCCTTGCCGGCCCCACCCTGGTCCCCAGCCACTTCCTCCAGCTTCTCACTCTGCGGCCTTCTTCCGGCCACAAAGGCCTCTTACCGATGCTTAACTGTGCAGCTCAGAGCTGCCACTCGTCATTCGCTGGCTTCTCAACCCTCCCTCTCTTCTGACTGGTTTCAGTGGAAACATTCCCTCCCTGGAAGATCTTCCCTGCACACACTGTGCAATTCAAAAAGGGAGGTCACCCACCCTCCTCCAGACCGGCTTTCCTAATACACGTATGCTCTGGCCCCTGCTGTCATTTTAACGGCACTGTGTTTGCCTGTCTGCTGTCTATCTCTGCCCACCAGGTTCCAAGCCCGTCCATCAGGGCGCTGCCCGGCCTGAGTTCAGACGCCAGCAGACGGCAGGTGTGCGATAGACCATCTGCACACTGCTGGAGCGAACGGACACCTGAAGGGGAGCCCAGCCTTCCCGCCCGACAGCCTCCCAACGTCTGGTCAACTACCTCTTCGGCCTCCTCCTCCGAGTCCACCACGGGGAAGTCCTGCAGGGACTGTGGGGTGCGCTCCGAGCCGTACGCGCCCACGGCGCCTTTCCCCTTCCTCTGTTTGGCTTCGATGGGGTTGATGATACCTGGCATGTGTCACCAAAAGAAGAAGAGAGGGGTGTCAGGCCACATTTCAACAGGGCGCTCAATTCAACCACACTGCCTGCGCTTTAACCGCCCCGGATTCAAGAGTGAGAGTGGTTCCAGCTCAAGTGTCATGGGATTTTAGCTTCAGAGCCCTCACCTTACCCCAGCACACTTTCGGCTGCCATTAGGGGATCTGTGACATTTCCTAAACAGAAAAACATGTGCTGGAGAAGAGCACTGAACATCCCATGGACGGCCGAGAGAACAGCTATTGTCTTGGAGGGGATGCAGCCGGAGTGCTCTTTGGAGGCAGGAATGACAAGGCTTCACCTCACATACTTAGGGCATGTTGCCAGGAGGGGCTATTCCTTGAAGAGGAACATGACACTGAGAAGGGGATAGGGTTAGAGAAGTAGAGGAAGACCCTCAACCAGGTGGATTGACACGGTGACTGCTGCAATGGGCTTTTGTGTGTCAGGAAGTGTGAGGATGGCGCAGGACAGAACAGCATTCAGATCTTTTGTTCACAGGGTAGCTATGAGTTATACTTGACTCAACGGCACCTAACAACAACAACAACAACAACAACAACAATCAGATAATGCCTGCCTGGCCTCACTGTTTTAAACAGCGTAAAGAAAACAGAGTAATTCATTTCTAACCAGGTACTCTAGAATACAAAATTTACACTTCACTTGTTTGGAAGCTTCTAATACAGACAATGGTCACTCTGATGGCACTGGAAGCTGCTTCACGTGATCCTGACAGATGCTGCGCTTCAACCCAAGACTCCAAATCTATTTTACACGGTACAGACGCTCATCACTTAGTGCCCATAGCATGGTCTACGAACTACAATACTACGCGATCTGGGCATTGCATGAACCGTATTATAATCCTTGGAGCAGGTTTGTTCCCAAAGACAAATCTATACACAGATCAGACCACATCTAACACCAGTTAGCGAGATGCTTGTCTTAGCGCGCAGCTATGCATCAAAAGCACTCAAGAAACACTTTCAGAGCCACAGTCTTCACGTTTTGATTCTGCTGCAAAGCAGTAGCCACTTATTTTTAAGAACGATAATACTGTCTGAACCAGTGATGTAATGGCTTTACAAGGGTCGGGACCATGGAGGTCCATGCAAATCTGCATTACTTAAAAGAACACTGCACAGCGCAGGACGGTAGTTTCTCTATCCTACAGCCAACTTATTTTACAATCTGGCTAAATCTTCAAAACCGATGTGGTTTTCTTATAAAATAATGTAGAAACAAAAACTCAACAGAGGTCGCTCCCTCCCCTTTCCAGTTAGTGCTGCTGAGGTCTCTCCCCTGCTTTTTACTCCAGGTCACCATCCCCACACTCCATTCTGAGTCCTTATCAACCCAGCTAAAGTTCCTAACATACAAGATTTCATTTGAAAACTGGAATCTGAATTCTAGTGAATACTAATGCTTAGAGTCGGCTGGTGACTGCACACAGGAGACTGCTCAAGGGAGGGAAAAGTCCCTGTGGGCAGGAGCAAACGGCTTCGCCTTCAAGGCTCTGCTATCAGCTGGACAGCAGTGTGTGAGAGGCACTGCGTCTCACGGGGGTGGAGGGAACGGAGAGGGTACCACTGAGCAAAGGCCAAGGCGATCAACGCAGAATATACACAGTGACACTGACACCTCATCATGGAGCCTCTCAGCCTATTCAAAGAGCTACGCACAATTCTCTCTTGACACTCTGAAGGACAAATCAATGTTTTTGAAACCTGTCATCTTTTTGGGAGAGGGAATGCAAACACGACTGCCTTCCAGGGCCCAGGACAGTGAACTTGAATGAGTGAATGGGTTATGCAGAAGGACAACAGGGAGTGGAAGGGACTGTGGCAAAGCAAAGGGCACATGCCCTGTCCAAGGAGGCTGCTATAATCCAGCCAAACCAATGCCCACCAGGCCAAAACTAGAGTCTTGTGGTTAAATCATTTCATTTTTAAATACTGGCAATTAATTCAATCTGGTAGTCTGCTAGTAAGGAATTGTGCTGCCAAGGCAAAGGTAAGTTGTTCAAATCCACCAGGTGCTCTGCAGAAAATGGGGCAATCTCCTCCCATGTATCTGACAACCCTCCAGAGGGTCAGCTATGGGTCAATTCTGACTCAACAGTACACAACAACTGGCAAGCATGGTGAAACTTCACCTCTCCTACGCTGGACATGTTCTCAGGAGGTACCTGTCCTTGAGGAAAGAGGTCTTGCTGGGAAAGGTGGAGGGCCAGTGACAGAAGAGAAGACAGACACAGTGCTAACAACAGGTTTACGCTCAGAAGAGACTGAGAGGAGGGCCCAGCACGAGGCAAGATTTCCACTGATCTGTTGTTCATATTCACAGCATCACTGTGAGTCACAGTCATCTGAATGGCGCCTAACAAACCACCCAATTCAATTCCCTCTTAGAAACGTCACAAGTCTTTCTGGCCTCTCAGCGTTCAACTTCTTTTAATAACGCAAGTTAGCTTGAGAAAGCAAGTGTCTTCTGCTGTGGAGTTAAAGTACCATTCAAAGAAAACAGGTAGAGCAACAGCAAGCTACTTCTGAAAGGACCCCTCCCTTTCACTCCTGACTCTGACCTCATACAACTGTCTAGGGTGACGGGGCGTACCTTGCGCGTTCTTCCCGAGGCCCCGGCCCGGCACGTAGCCCATCTTCTGCAGAAGCTTCTGTCCGATTCCTTTCGTGTGTCTTTCCCAGCTGCCAAAGTCCATAAAAGACTTGGCGCCTCCTGCAAAGCCTTTCTGGCTGGGTTTAAAATTGCCCCCCTGAAATGAAGAAGAGTCAGAGTTTAAGTGATAGAAAAAGAAGTAAAATCTAAGACAGCTGGGGAAAAGAGCTGGGTAGTCCCAGGGCTTTATGGAAAGTGTCACCCCAACGGCAAAGCTGAGGTGTGTGCCAGATGAGAAGAGAGGGACGCCACTGCACTGGGGTCGGGCTGAGCACCCTCGTTCTAGGGGCCACAACGACCACTGATGACGTAACAAAGTGACAGCCCTAGAGTAAAGACAGTACCGTTTTTAACTTCTTTGGTCTGAAATCCTTCGGGAAGTCATCCTGCTTCACGGGCCTCTCCTCGTCATCGGAATCCTCCAGCTCCGCCTCCTCGGCCGCCCCCTTCTTGAGCCCCGCGCTGATGAAGTTGACTGGCGCGGAGTAGTCCCGGGCCCTGGGGCACAGATAGGGAGCACCCCGTCCCATCAGGGTCCATCAAGCCTCCTCCCCAGCCAGACCCTCCCGTCAAGCGTGAGCTCCTGAGAATGCCTTAGACACCGCCTCAAACGGGACACAATCACTTATCTATCAAACTGCCACTCAACCTGCAATCCTAAAGTAATTCCTAATGTACTTCACAGTGTCCCCTGATATGCTTAACACAAATCAAGGGCTGAAGGGTGATCAGTGACAGGTAAGGCTGATTATGAACTCTGCATATGACATGGAGCTCTGGGGGCTTGGTGGTAAGGAGTTGCACCACCAATCTAATGGCACAGGGATCGAATCCGCCAGCTGGTCTCCAGGAGAAAGATGGGCATTCACCTCCAGCACAATGTGCAGCCGCTGATGGAGGGTCAACTCCAAGTCAGTTCTGACTCGACATTACCTAACAACATGACATGATAATCCCTTTTCCTTTTAGAAATGACCTTCCTTTAGACAGTACTTGTTTCAGACACTACTTCAAGTACAGACTCAAACAAAAGAAATTCTGATAGCTAAAAAAACCCCAAAATCTGCTAAACGAAAAAATAGATGATTGAATAGAACACTAGTGATATTATTAACCAACTGGTAAAAAAAAAAAAAATAAGGCCCATATCCGTTATACTTATTTGGATATGAAAACTAAACTAAACTATCTAAGAACTTAACTCTGAGATAGAAAGTACTGACTACACCAAGAATAACACCGAAAATACCAGGTGCTCGCTTGGTGTTCCTTTCATGTTATGAGATCACTTATGTCTGTCCTGTGTGGTTAAGAGAACAAAGAAGAATATTCCAACAAATAAAGCCCTGGGAACAATGCAAACCCCAACAATCCTCTATGAAAAGATCAACTTAGTAAAGACACCCCACAGCAGCTACGGAGGGAGTTAATTCTAGGGGCTCCTTCCCCAAAGGGGGGAACATAACTGAGTGACGAAGGGTCCGAGTTCGTAAATCAGACCCAGATTCTAATCCTACCGCGGGCTTTGCCTAGCAGCGTGGCCCTTGGCCTCAGTTTCTTCATCTGGAAGAGGGGGATGACAAAAATGCTGTCTTCCTCGTGAGGTAAATGAGATGAGGCACACAAAGCCCCCAGAAAAGGAAACAACTTAATAATGTTACCTCCGGGGATTTATCTTGTGTTAATGTTGGATTTCTGTCTGATCTCTGGTCTATTTTTTTCCTTATTTTCTTTACTCTTTATTCTGCTTTTGCATTTCCTGGGAGGCTCGGCTGATCCTTCCATTCCTTCTTCCAGTTCAGAAGGACCGAGCCCCCGGGCCAGGGTTGAGTCAGGGCGCTATGAAGCCACACTGGCTCTAGAAGCCTGTCAAGTGAGCAGCAGCCCCTCATATGTGGTCCCCGCTTGTTTAGGGGAGACTCTGGGCCTAAGTCCTCCTGGCGGCTCCTCATTCCCTACAGGTGCATGGCCACGCTGTGCACCAGCTGAAGAATCTTCTCCAAATCCCCACAGCCTGCTCTTACCACAGCCCCCAGGCCCTCCAGTGCCCTCTCCTCTCCACTCCTCTCCCCACTCCAGCCTCCCAAACCCCCTTCTCTGCCCTGTGGACACGCTGCTGCCGCCCACAGATGGCCCTGCAGGCTCCTGCCTCTCTTTCTACCCCAGTTACCTTCTATTCTCAGGTCAGATCAAGGGTCACATCTCTAGAGAGACCTTCCCTGACCTCCCAGGAAAGCTCCAGCCCCTGCAAAGTGCTCTCCCTCAGAGCTAATGTCACTGCTGTCAACCTGCAAGTTTGGGTGGGGGGCTGACTGGTACCTGTGTCCATTTACTAGACTTGAGTTCTAAGGAAGGCCAAGAGCAGCTGCTTAATAAACACTGACTAAATGATTAGGAAACAGGACCGACCTCCCTAGCTGCTTTCATCCTTCCTCAAGGATTCCATGCGGCCAGGAGAGAAACGTACTTGGTGGGTGTCTACCTGATGCCCTCCATCTCCCTCCCCCTGCTCTCCCTAAACCACGGAGCCAGCCCCGCGCAGACCAGTACCGTTTGCCTCCGAAGCTGGGCCGCTCGTCATCGGAGTCCCGCTCAGCCCACACGCCGTAGGTCGCCTCTTCCTTGGTCTGCCAGTGGCGCTGCCGGTTGGGGTTGAACTCATTCTGCAGGTCCCAGTCGGTGATCTCGAAGTTCTCGTGTTCGTCCTCGTCCTCCTCCATGTGGCCTTCCCCGTCCCGGTACAAGTGGGACAGTGACATCACCACTCACTAAAGGAAGGGGGAGGGAGAGAAAAAGACCATCTGTGACAATTCCCTGGGAGCTCTGATGATCTAGGGGGTGAGGCATTCTGCTGTCAATGCAAAGGCAGGTGGTTTGAATCCAATTGCGGCTCTGCAGGAGAAAGAGGGAAGTCTCCTCTCGTGCAACTTAGAGCCTCAGAAAACCTGCTGGAGGGTCAGCTATGTGTCGCTCTCAACTTGACGGCAATGAGCTGAGTCACTGCGTTAATAACACGTCCCAGGGGCCACAATGGTTGGTTCTCAGTGCTCCACACTCCCTTCTCAACTTCTCTTAAACCTCAAATTCTATTACAATCACTGTTACTATTGAGTAAAACGAGAAGCTCTAGTGGAAAAGAGCCTGCTCCCAACCTGAAGGCACGCAGTTTGAATCCACCAGCTACTGGAGAGAAATTTAAGCAATCTCCTCCGATGAAATTTACTGCATCTGTAGCGTCAGCTAGGAGTCCTAGTTTGATGGTACCTAACAACAGCATTTAATAAAACAGAGTTAAGATACATTTCAGAAAACAGTGACATAACTGGTGAGACACGATTGATTTCAGTCATCTACACATTTCTACCAAACATGACATCGTTCTCCAGGGAAAGATCCAAAGTGAGTGAGACGATGTCGAACCATCTTCACTTTAGGCAGGGTCTCCCAACTGTAGTTCTTCCAGGACAAACGTGTTTCTTCCCCTGGCAGCCCTTTGCTATATTTATTATTCTTTGCCAGTACCAACACTCAAATACATCATCAGTTGTTTTTTTTTTCTCCCAAGAGTCAGATGATAAAAATGAGACTCAGAAGTTAACTGATATACTCAGGTCTCCCAGCTAGCAGGACTGATCCAGGACTTCACTTTGCTGTTCAGGACACACCAAGGAGCCCTGGTGGCATAGTGGTAAAAGAATATGACTGCTAACAAGAAGACTGGTTGTTTGACTCTACCAGTTGCATCGCAGGAGACAGCTGTGGCAGCTTTCGTCCACTAAGCTTTGGAAATGCTCAGGGCCGTTCCTGGCACTCTAGTGCAATATGCTGAGTCTCCTCCAACATGCACTGCAGTCTTTTCTTCCTCCTCTGTCTTTGTAAAGACCTTCTTTCTGCATTCTTCACGAATAATATTCTAGATATCCTCCCACAGCTCATCTAGCCTTCACTCATTAATGTTCAAGCCCTCAAGTCTACTCCTGAGATGGGTTTTTAATTCAGGTGGCATTGACTCAAGGTCAAATTTTAGTTCTTATGGATTTAACTTCAGTATAAACTTGCATATGAATAGTTGATGGTCTGCTCCACAGTTATCACCTAGCCTAGTTTTCACAGCTGATACTGAGCTTCTCCAACAATTCTTTCCACAGATGTGGAAACCATCAGATTCCTGAGCAAACCATGAGGTGAAATCCAAAACCTATTTGCAACAAATAATTCACTGACTGTACAAAATTCCATCATTTTATCTCCAGCCTCATTTCTGTCACCAAGCCCATGTTTTCCAACTACTGATCCTTCTTCTCCATTCCCAACTTTTGCATTCCTGTCACTCATTATTAGTACATCTCCGACTGTAAAAGTTGAAATTAAGGAGGACCTGAAGCATTTGCTGCAGAGGGTCAAGGCCTGTAGTTTGCAATATAAACTGAAGGTCAATATCTAGAAAACAAAGATTCTCACCACTGAGCCAACTGGCAGCACCATGACGGAGAAGAGATTGACATTGTTAACAATTTCGGCTTGCTCAGTTCCACAATCAACATTCATGGCATAAGCAGTGAGGAAATCAAAAGATGAACTGCATTAGGGAACTATATCATTAGAGACCTCTCCAGAGTGCTGAAATGCAAGGATGTCACTCTGGAGACTAAGGTGTGCCTGATCCAGGCCATGGTCTTGGCAATTACTTTGTCTGCTGGAAAATGACCAAGATGACAGACGAACTGATGCCTTTGAGTTGTGGTCTGGAGAAAAGTATTGAAAATCCAATGACAGTCAAGAGAAATAACAGGTCTTTCCTGGAGAGAGTGAACCAAGTTGCTCTTCAAAGGCAAGGATTTTGAGGTTCCGTCTCACATATTCTGGGCAGGTAGCCAGGAGGAACCAGTCTTTGGAGAAGGACATCATGCTTGGAAGGGATGAAGGAAAGCGCAGGAGAGGAAAACCCCGGATGAGACGGGTTGACCGCCATAACCGGGGTAATGAAGGTAGGTGTGTCAGATAGTGAGGTTGGCTCAAGATAAAGGATGTTTCAGAGCTGTTGTGCATAGGGTCGCTACGAGTCCTAGTCCATTCGATGGCACATAACAGGGCAGTTCCATCCTAGAGGGTCGTTAAGATTTGGAAGCAACGCCTTTGCAGGGGGTGGGTCTCCCCGTCCAGACCCCAGCAATCCGCAATGAGCGACTCCGCCCCTCTCGGCTGCAGCAGCGCCACGTGCAAGGGTGGATCGTCCGCGGGTGAGGTCAAAGTCACCTTTCCCTCGTCCCTATTTCCGGTGCCCTGGCCCCTTCTCAAGCAGGCCTCACTTACCTCCGTCCCCCGTTAAGCACTCGATTCAGCACCATGAACGGAGGCGTCGCGCTTGGAGGCGGGAACCCGGCAGTGTCTAAGCCGGCGCACCAGAAATGACGCAGGACGCACGCAACTGTAGCCCCGCCCCCCTTTAGGGGCTACGGTATAGTGGGACTGGCTTACCAGAAATTAAAACTGACTTTCTGCCGTCTATTCCAGAACACTGAATTATGCTCATATAAAACTATACGTAGATCAAGGATAAGAGAATATTGCGTGGTTTAAAATCAGGAAAAGCGTGTATCAGGGTTTTATCCTCTTTCCATACGTATTTGTTCCGTAAACTGATCAAATCATTGCAGAAGCTCGAGTCGATGAAGAAGAATGTGGCATCAGGATGGGAGGAAGACTCATCAACTGGTTGCGTTATGCAGATGACACAACCTTGCTTGCTGAAACTCAAGAGGACTTGAAGCGCTTGCTGCAGAAGGTCAAAGACTGCAGCCTTCACTACGTACTGCATCTCAGTGTCAAGAAGACTAAGAGTCTCACCACTGGGCTGATAAGCAGCAGCATGAAAGACAGAGAACAGAGTGAAATTGTCAAAGATTTCATGTTGTTTGCATTCACAATCAACACCGTTGGCCCCAGCAGTCAAGAAATCAAAAAAGTAGTGAACTAGGAAAGTCTGCAGTGCGGGACCTCTCCAAAAATACTAAGACGTAATTGTGTCAGTTTAAAGACTAAAGTGTGCCAGATTCAGGCCATAGTGTTTCCCATCACTTGTGCTTCTGAGAGCTGATGGATAAATAAGGATGACAGAAGAAGAATCAACAATGCCTTTGAGCTGTGGTGTTGGAGAAGCGTACTGAATATCCTATTGCCTGCCAGAAGAACAAACAGATACATCTTGGGAAAAGTGCAGCCAAAATGCTCCTTAGAGACACGTAGCGAAGATTTGCCTCACACACTGGGCATGTTGCTAAGAGAGGCTATTCCTTGGAAAGGAACATTGTGCTTGGAAAACTGGAGGGTCAGCAAAAGAGAAGACCCCTTACAAGATGGACTGACATGGTGTCTGCTGCAATGGGCTCAAGTGTGTCAGAGATACTGAGGATGGCACAGGATAGGACAGGGTTCAGCTCTGTTGTTCATAGCGTCTTCGTGAGTCGTACTTGACTCCACAGCACCAAACAACAAAAGAAGTCAAACAATTCACAGCTGCCCCTCCACTGAGTTGTCAAGGTAGGGCTTTGCACAGGAGGAGATTGGCCATCTTTCTCCCAAGGATACTAGCTACTCTAAAGGTATCTGGGAATTGCAAAGTCCAGAACTCCAGAGGATTGCCTTCCTGGCTTGGCCATCTCCTTACAGGGGCTGCTTGTACTGTGAAGTCCACCACTTTTGCCCTTTGGCCTAAAGAGGGGTTTTTTGCCAATTACAAATTCTAAATCTGTTAAGTGGGTACATAGGACTCAGTCATAAGTTAATGGTGAGCATTAATGTAAGACAGGTCAGAATGGAGTCAGAACAAACTTATACTTGTCACTTGAGCGGGTTCTGAGGCTGTAAATTGCATGACAGTAGACTGCCCATCTTTCTCCCACAAAGCCACTGGTGGAGTTGAACTGACCTGGTTTGGCAGCACAACTCCCTGGAGGTTACATCACCAGAGCTTCAAGTGAGACAGGTGGTTGTTTTGCACAGTGGAAATTGCCCCCCTTTCTTCTGCAGACTGGAACCGCTTGCCTTTAGGTTGGCAATGCAGTTCCTTACCCACTAGGCCACCAGGTTTCTGTGAAACAGGGTGTAGTTGTTGTTGTGTGCTGACTCTCCAGCGGGTTTTTAGATGCAGTGAATCACAGGGAGAGATTGTCCATCCTTCTCCTGTGGAGCAACGGGCAGATTCAAACCATGTGCCTTTGGGATTGCAGTGCAGCTTCTTACCACTAGGCCAGCAGAGTTCCCTGCGAGACAGGTGGCCCTGAATGCAGTAAGAAGACCACAAATGTGCCACCTCTACCTCGGGGTCTTCAGTAGACGGACTGTCTTGACTGCCTTATAAATGAGTTTGAGGGTATACAAAAATAAATGGACAAACTCTAGCATTTCCAAGCATTCTCCAGGGAAATGCTCTATTTTCTTCCTTGCAAGCCAGATGATAAATATTTTATTCATGCATGCATCTAAAATAAATCTAGTGAGCGACTACCCAGCGCTGATGCAATACGCCTCTGCTAGGTGTGGGACCCAGGACAAATTGCTTCACCTCTTATCTCAGTTTCCCCATCTGAAAAATGGGGATAAAGAAGGTGCTGCTCTCAGATGATAATGCTCCAGACCAAAAAAAAAAGAGGTGGGGGTGCTAATAAACTCTTAAAACACTTCTGGCATAATTAAAAAAAAACAAAACAAAATCATGTCAAGTGGATTCCAACCTGATGTGTGTCACAGTAGAACTGTGCATCACAGGGTTTGGAATGGCTGGGATT